ATTGGTATGAATCATCATCATCATCATCAGCCCTTTTACACACAACATCATCAATCAATGACATCTGACATCTTCAATCATTTCTCCTTCTCTCTTTTCTTTTTCACTTATTTTATTTTCCTTATTAGTGTCGATTCCTTCTATTGGTACGAATGTTTCAATGAATTTATGCTTAGTATAAATTTTCAAAGATCAAACTATGATTATTGTTTATACACAGGATTCGAAAAAAATGAAAGAATCTACTTATGTTTATATGTCGACGATATTTTAATTTGTGCAGAAAAGAATATTACTATTGCAAAGATGAAACAAAACTTGAGTGACAGATTTCGGATGAAAAATTTTTAGGCAAGGTAAAACAATATTTAGGAATTGATATTGACTATAAACCAGAACAGAAAGAAATGACTTTGAGTAAGAAGAGGTATATAGAGACCCTGGCAGAAAAATATAATATAAATGATGATTGTGGAACTAAATTTATCATTGGAGATTATACTTGTGACTTGAAATACAGAAATTTAATTGGAGCTTTACTATACATCGCTAGTGGAACTAGACCAGATATTTCGTATAGTGTTAATTATTTACATAAGTAGATTTCAGAATTGTTATGATAATACTCATTTCAAATATGCCTTGAGAGTCTTGAAATACTTATATAATAGTCGTCAAATGGTACTTAATTATAATTCGAAATATGATGATTACTTAGATGCTTATGTTGATGTGGATTGGGCTGCAGACAAAATTGGCAGAAAGTCAACGACAGGTATTGTGTTAAGAGCATTTAACAATCCAATTTTATGGAAAACACACAAGCAGAAAATAGTTTCGAGGGCTTCAACTCAAGCGGAAGATTATGCGTTAGCAGATTGCGTAACGGAGATTTTGCCAGTAATAGGAGTCTTAGCTGATTTAGATGTTAAAATAACAAAGCCAGTCAAAATCTATGAAGACAATAGCGGTGCCATATCTCTATAAAAAAAGGGAAATTCTGTAAAAATTCTAAACATATCGACGTAAGTTTTCATTTTGTAGATGATTACGAGAAAAAAAAGGTTATTTCTGTAAATAAAGTAGACGGTAATGATCAACTTGCAGATATATTTACTAAGGCATTAGGGAAATGTAAATTTAATAAATTTAGGTATTTATTAAATATTTATTGATTGTTGGAAATTGAATAATAGATTATAATTTTTTTTTTTATAAAACTCAAGGAGGTGTGTTGAAATAAGGTTCGTTTCATTAAAAAAAAGTTAAGTCTATGGTTTTGACGTTTTTGTTGGTTATATTCTGGTCTTGTGTCGGTTGAGATATAAATGTTAACAGTAATTAAGAGTTCATTCAATTTTTTTGTTGTTTTTTAATTCTTTATTTTTTATGCTTTTTCCAATAAATCAAAATTTTAGAATTGAAATTGGTTTTGAATACTCACTTTAATTACCTTTCAAATGGTACCCCTCATTACATCTCTAGTGGCTTGCTAATAGGGCAAAAAATTGATTGAGAAACAAATATGACAAGGTGCGATTTTTTTGACGCCGAGTGTATTAGGGATTATTACTAAAAAATCGCTCAACTAAAGACTGTCTAAAAAAAAACCCATTAATACTGGGATTTTCTTGAACATCCACATCTTTGGTTGTATCAGTAATTAAATCATCATCATCATCATTATCAATTGAAATTTCATCTAACAATAAAATATTATTATAGTTGCACATGCACAAACTACAGCCACAACTGTATCTAGTTTAATTGCCATGCCAACTTGAAGACATGGGAACTTTCTTTTCCATATGCTAAAAACTCTTTTGATAATATTTCGTGTTTTGATGTGGCTTTTATTGTATTGCTCTTGACTGTTGGAGTTGGGTGATAGGAATGGTGTAAATAGCACATTGCTAATTGCATAACCACTATCTCCTAGAAGTATACCATCCAATACACCAGTATTAAGGCGTTGTTTCAAGGCACTGCTGTTATAAATAAAACTATCATGTGTACTTCCAGGCCACCGAGCAACAATATCAAAGAATTCTAAATTAGGGCCCGTTACTGCTTGGACGTTCATAGAAAACCATCCTTTTCTATTTCTATAAACTTCTGACGATAGTCCACCAGGACTTAATTTTTATATGTGTACAATCAATGTACCCAATAACACCAGGACATTCAGCAATCTTATAAAAACCTTGCTTTACTTTATTAATTTCATATTGAGTAGAAGGGAACTTGACCAAGTTTTTCATTTTTCTTGCCAAAAGTATGGACATCTTGCTGACAATTCTTGAAACAGATTGTTGACAAGTATTCATAACATCACCTTCTAATTTCTGTAACAAAAAATAAAAAATTAAGAACACAATGGGCTAATCTATGCATATACCTATGTATGGCTATGTAAAGGTAAGTGTGAGTGAACATAATATTAGCCGGCCGTAAAACATATTATATGATTTCAATAAAATATGTAAGTACAATATAATAAATACACAATCAATGATACATAACTCACCGCCCCTTCCTTTCCTGTGGGTGTCGTAAGAGGCGACTAAAGGAATTCGAGCTCAGATCTGCTCGCAACTGGTGGTAGGGTTTAATCCCGCCTGGTTAGTTACCACCGTACACACATGGTGAAAAACCCGTGAAGTGCTCGCTCGTAGAGCGCGTTTCGGGATAAGCCAACGTACAACCAGAGCTCGGGACGACATTGCTGCGATTGTTTCGGTCCGTTGGGTACCTCCGTCGAACCAGTGCCAGGAGGACTCCATCGACCCACCAGCCAGAGAGACTCGTAGAAACGGCTGACCGCTGGCCGCCCGTGGTACAGTACAGGGGCCCAAACGTGCCTAACCAGATCGTGAGCCTGCCCTATCATGCCACGCATAATCTTGGGGTGGACCGTCGTGCCGGTTGGTGACCGGAGCGTGGGTCCCGGCGGCCACTCCCTGGAGGGTACGGGGGCCCTTCCGTCTGGCGGATCGGTGCTACTCCTCTGCGGGCAACACCTGGGGAAACAGGCGCCCATATTTTTGACTGGAGCAGTCGCCGCAATGCCCTCCCGCTTCACGTCTCCTCACAGCAACACGTTCTGGTCGTACAGCGGTGCACAACCCCACGCCTTCGCTGTTTGAGGTTGAGTTATCTAATATACGGGGACTCCATGCCAATCTCAATGCTGTCCACCAACACCTAGAGACAGCACGGCCTGCATTGTTGTTTCTGACGGAGACGCAAATTCTCCGCCCGGCCGACACAGGCTACCTTCACTATCCCGGCTACGCACTTGAAGAGTCCTTCAAAGCGAAAGCCGGTGTATGCTTGTTTGTCCGGGTGGATGTTTGCTTCTACAGAGCAGCATCAACATGCTCGGGCTGGAAGTGCGCTGTGATCTGAATCCCAAAAACCACATCGAGTCTGTTATTAAAACAGCATTACGAAAACTCGGTGTCCTGAACAAGGTGCGGCGTTTTTTCACGCCCGAACAACTGTGCCTGCTATACAAAACGCAGGTCTGGTCATGCGTGGAGTATTGCTCGCACCTTTGGGATGGCTCCGCTAGGTACTTAATCGATGCTTTGGATAGATTGCAGCGCCGCGCAGTACGCATTATTGGCAATGGTGAAGTCACCAAGAACCTAGAAAGCCTGCAACTGCGCCGAGACGTCGCTTCGCTCAGCGTCTTCTACCGTCTCTACCATGGTGAATGCTCTGAAGAACTCTTTTCTCTTATCCCCCCATCTCCCTTCCTCCTCAGGACCACACATGCTGGTTTGCGTTGCCACCAACTAACTGTGGCAACGATTCCTTCGCGTACAAAGAAATTTGGCGACTCATTTCTTTATCGTACTTCCAAAAAATGGAATTGTCTCCCAGCCCATGTATTCCCTCCTTCCTATGACATAGGGTCCTTCAAGCGGGGCGTGAAGAAGCACCTTGCAGGTCGGCAAGGTGAGGGTGGCTAGTGCAGTACCTACGTACTGTTTTCACTAGCTAACCTCACGTTTGGACTACGCCTCTGCTTACCATCAGGTGGAGCGCAGTCATTTGCCCTCCATCTCATATAAAAATAAAAATAAAAAGTTGTGAAGAAACGTAATGTTAACAATAACACATCCTTTCATTCCTTTTCAAAATTCTTAAAGATCCTAATTCACCCGCAAACCTGAATTCCCGTTTCTAGAAGCTTCCTCCCCCATCCCGTCCCCGGCGGTACTGTGTTACCAAAACTTTGGAGCTGCCTAAAAGTAACACCAATTTTCTCTTCAACTCCTTTTCTGTACGGGCTGTTAGACTATGGAACAAACTCCCATTATTATATTATATAATATTGTTTATTTATGTATTCTTATTTTTTTTATTGATTTTTTTTTATATCATGCTTATATGTATTAATGTCAATATTCATTCACATCAAATTTACAATTATGCACTTGTCAGTCTCCCGTTTCTGCTTGGTCTCCCACACCGCCTGGTTGGCTGGAAGAGATCTCTTATAGAGATAAGCCCACCCTTGCTTGTGATTTACATACTATTGTAATGTTGACTTTGTTTTTTGTGCAATAAGTATATATATAACATTATTTCAGGAGCAAATGGTAAACCTCTCTTGTTACGACGCCAACTTTCACAAGTTTTAACATTGGTAATATTCTATTTTTTACAGCATGAGATGTAAATCTATACCTCGCATGAAATTCACGTACGAAATATTTTGAGAAAGAATCCGAATAACCACGTAAATACCGCTGTGGTCCTGTTTCTCTAATCCTTCTTGCATAATTTACAAACTCTACAAAATCTTCGAAAAATAGGTACCTAATTTAAATAAAATTGAAACACTTCCGTCTGTTTCACCTTTAGTTAGATAAGCAAATTTAGGTAGGTCATTGCATGTTGTACCACATATGAAACTTTTACAATGCCTGTGAAATGTTGCGAGTAGTGTATTCATTTTCTTTATAATGTTATGTAGGTATTAAAAAATGCTAACAAGTACGAACATTTGCTTTTAATATTTGGAGTTCAATTTTCTTCTTTATTTCAAAGTGTTTTAAGCGTTGAACTCCTTCTTTTCGAATATAATCCAATGGTTTGCGTTTCTCTGCAAGTTCATAATTGCTGCTTTTAGAGGTTGCTGTGTGCAACTCTATAACATCTTCACATTCTAAAATATAATAAAATATTTATATTGTTATTAAAGATCACAAATGCTTAGTAGAATATTGTAATTTATTGTAAATCTGAATATCAGTTGCAAAGTATGTTCAACATTTATGCAATATTATTAAAAATTACTTGAATACAAAACACAATTCTGTCCATCAATTCATTATTCTTCATAGAGGGAAAAGCAAATATTTTTAAATACAAACAAATATATAAAACAACATAATTATATATACAATTTGCAGTTAAAGAATAAACATACCTATGTTCTGTTCCAAGGTAACATCTGGTTCTACAGTATTTGTTTGACCGTTTTCCAGTTTTGCCTCAAAATCCTCTAGATCTAGACAGTCCCATCTCTGTCAAATGTATTTGGGACTTCACAAATTATTACAGGAGCAGCCTGGAAAAATAAAAGATTTACTAGTACATCACAGTCAGAATAAGGTTATGTACTAATCCAAAGTAGTTTACCTCTTCTACCATACTTATTATGGCGCCTTGCTGTGAGGTAGGTGGGAGATCTGATGGTCCACCACCAGTCTTTATAATATTCCCCCTTTCCGTGGCCCTTGCTTTACGTGTCATGGCTTTTAAGTTTTTAATAGAAGAGCAAACATTGTTAATAGAAGACAACATAAAACTGTTCAACAATATTGTGCAAATTATACTTTGGTGACATGAGCATTGCAGTTGAATTCTTCGGTGACTGAGCTCCAAGCCATTTTTTTCTTTACAATTGATTTTCCATCTGTGAACTTTGTTTCGATAATCGGTCTTTTCCTGATCAATTGAGCTAAAAGTGCTTTTCATCAGCAGTGAAATAGACAACTCTTTTGCGAGGTGTTTTATTATCTTCCCAAAATTAAAAGTTGGATTAAACACGAGTGTATTTATTATTTATTGGTAATACGCATATAATGATTATTCCAAATATTAATAAAATAACTCATTTAACACGAACGTGAACAAAAACACAGTCATCTATTTTAAAGGTATAAGTGGGACTGAGGCCCAGCAATCCGTCTTCGAGACGCCTCTCAACGTTTCATTGGAGATATCCGACGACGGCGAGGAGTTTGCCTTCAGGGAGCAGGTTGATCCTGGGCAGCTGTATTCGGTAGATTTTGTGTTGGTAGAGTGGGCACTGGTGGTAGTGGTGGTGGTGGCGGCGTAACACGTGGTGGTATATGGGGTTGGTGTGATGATCCAGGATGCATCCAATCTGCAAATAAAATATTAAGGACAAAATTTAGTAAGATTATACTAAGAAAGTACCTATAGGTACACTAAATGAAGAAGAAAGTATAGAATAAACACAATAATTATATTTACCTCTTATATATTCACCGTCTATTTGTGGGACAGTTATGATTATCGAGGGGCTGTTCTCATTTATCTTGGGTGATGGCGGTATGGCCGCAGTTTTATCATTATCAATATCCTAAAAGTTATTTATTTATAGTGAGAATATTTTCAAAATTTGATTTTCTTATCTCTTATTAAAACAATTTTATACATACAATTAGTAATTCTGCTACAACAACGGCAGGCCAGTTGCTGACTGGGGCACTATTATGTTGAGCACCCGTTCTTCCAACTCGGTCATTCGGATCTGCAATGCAGGTCCACAACCTGTACCGTAAGAAGCCTTGTGTATCGTCGCTGCTTTCTTATTAATACTGTTTTAAAAACACTCCAAACCAAGAAGAAAAAAGGTGTTATTGTTAAGTTCAAGAATTTTTTCTTATTTGTTAGTTTAGTTATAGGTATATTAATTGTATTTCTTTAATATTTTTAATGCGCAAGTTACAATGTTTGTTGTGATGCAATTGAATTAAAGGAAAACTGGACCTAGATCCTTAAGCAGATTGTAGTATACATCATTACAAACAAATTTGACTATGAAACACCTTATCCAAAACCTAACCGTTTTCAAGATATAGAACTTTTATGGTTTTTATAAAAAATGCTGGTTATATGTTCTCAAAATTTGTTTTTCTCATTTTCGACGCCTATTTATATCGTTTATTTTATGAAGTAGATAAGTTATTTTATAATTATCATCTATAAAACCCTATGTAACTTAACATTCGAGTCAGAGTAGAGGTTTGACCGTTAAAAAAATAAATTCACTAAACCAAAATTTTCTAACAGTTTAATAAATTAATATTACATTTATTTTACAGATGTATTTAATATCTACGTTTCCTCAGCTATCCAATGACGTACGAGGATACCTAATATAAAAATTATTAAACTTAAATTTAAAATCCATAGTGAAAGTTTCAAAAAAAAAAATAGTATGTAAATTATCATCGGTCATTTATTATTTTCACAAAGTACTACTTTATAATTCATGTTCTACATGGCCACCTCTATTTCGCACACATATTCTCAGTTTTCTTCGTAGTCCACTCTAACCTACACCAGTAGTTAACTGTCTTCTCATCTGATCTATCGCATCAATTATTTTTTGTCATAAAACATCAAAAGATGTAATCGAATTAGGATAGACTTTTATTATGGCCCCACATATAAAAATTCATAGGCGTTAGGTCTGGACTTCTTGCCGGCCATGGTATTGGTCTACCTCTTCCTATCCACTTATTGGGATAATTTGTATCCAGCCTTTCCCTAACGCTTCTTCGATAATGTGCGGGGCAACTGTCATGATGGAACCACATGTCTCGTATTACATTAAGAGATAGGTCTTCAAGTAGGTCGGGTAAATCCTACCTTAAAAACTCTTTATATGTTTCTCCGTTTAAATTATCGAGGAGAAAGTAAGGTCCAATCAAATGTTTGGATATTATTCCCATCCACAGATTTAAACTTTGTGATCCCGCTTCTTATTGGGTTTTTTCTGGAATTTTGGGGCCCAATGATGGGCATTATGATAATTAGTGATGCCGTCTTTTTCAAATTCAGACTCATCTGTCCACAAGATTAGTTAAAAAAATCTTGGGTCTTCTAAATTGGTATTCAGCATAAACCTGCACAAATCTAACCTCCTCAATGGATCTCCTTCTTCGATAACTTGTAGTGGCGTGTAGTATGGGTACAGACCCACAGTAGGGACAGTAGACTACACTTTCCACTGTGAGATCCCAAATTCTCAGGCAACATTATTAGTTGAAATGGCCGCGTCCGATCTAAAACGTCGCCGTTGTGACCGGTTCGGTGCTTGGGCAAATTAATGAAATGTTGACTAGATTTAGTATTGTATAAAGGATAAAGTAAAGAAAAACTGTAACAAAAAAAAAATGAATATAAACAGTTCGTACGTTAAACTAAATAATTCGTATATTAAAATTTTAAATTTCCAAATAAAATGAATACATACCCCTTTTTGAGTTTTCCTTAATAAACAATACTTATTAATTCATTTAACTTGTTTCTTATATAGAAACTTCACTTTAAACATATAATTTAAAATATTTTATTAATTACAATTATAAAATGTTACGTATTGTTCAAATAAATTTTCACGAACTGACATCCATAAAAAGTATATTTGATTATTAGTCAATATTTTAAATTACGAAAGGTGAATAATAAAAAGAAATGATGTTGAATTTCAAAGACAAAAAGTTTGCATGTTGAAACTTAGGAAAATAAACGTGGTACGGCAGACCGTTACACCGTCAAACACATTGACATCTAGTATGCGGCTGGCCGCGATAGCGTCTTATGTGCTCATCATGAGCTCGAGCGGATACGCATTCGCAGTATCCATAACAGAGCAACATATCATATTCCTCGTTGGTGTAGGATGTTATCTTCAACAGTATCACAAGCACAAATCAGAATCCAATTAGCAAGCTTAAAGTCACGTAGCGAAAGAAGAACATTCCAGAAATATACTAAATTACATAACTTTTTCCACTTTTCAGTGGTTTTAGTCTCTCCCGTCGCGTCAGTGTTAAGTATATTTGTGAGATTCTCGCACTCTTAAATGGCTTTCATTCTACCCTGGGCAGTTTTAGTGGGCTTATTATTATCTCCATGCCTGGACAAAGTGAGAAATGACATTATCACAAAAAAAAAATCTAAACACAATACTTTGATTGCGTTAAAAATACATACGCAATTAATGATCACAAAACTTTGTTAAACTTAAGTTTCCATGAAACTCAATATCATATCAAATCGTGTGGCACTAGTTTTCTTTTTCAAAATCTCATTTAATATTTACACACCATTTCCTATAATAACTGAGAAAAGCGTTATGGACGTAGCTGTTTACGAAACTTTTTCAGATTTTTTTATTATATTTAGGTAATAATATTTCTATGAACTGGATTTGTAAGTACCGACAGGGTTACAAAATGACAAATCAATAACAATAAACTTAAAAGTAGTTAAACGTGTATATCATGGTATTCTACAAAAAAGTTATTTTTTTCATAAATGCACAAAAATATATTGTAATGTGAACATTTTGAGTGACTGCACTTTCTTCATGCTGCATACTTCACACCTTCTATTTGACACAAACGTAGGCCAATTTACCCCGCTGTTTCCTAAACGAACGTCTTCCAACGTTGAGAAGCCAATTTTGCACCTTTTTGATGACTCAGGACTAAGGAGAGACTCTTGATAACCTTTTCTTATGGTTATTTTTCATATCTTTCATAGAAATCAACCCTTGCGCTATGGATCTTTTGAAATCTTTTACGGAACTCTTTTCCATTATGAGTCCATGAATAATATACACATTTACAAAAGCTATGTCTACAGGACATTGTCTAGTATACCCAAAACAATCTATGCCACCGTTTGGGGGTTTTCCTATCCATACAGTACAATGCTCTTAATCAGCATCAATCAACATCTGGCTAAACAATAGTTGTCATCACTTTCGCAATTTGCGTGAAGTGAATGGGGCGAGTTAAAATTATTTATTAATAATGATTTGAAAGCACCTTCAAAGGCTACTGTGTCTGGTGAGGTATTTCTCGCCCCGTAACTTCTTATATTTTCAAAGAAGTTTTCAAGTGGATCCTGGTTATAATTTCTGGTCAGCATTGCATCAAATGTATATGTTTGTGAGAGTAAAATCCACAAATGTTAAACACCTTCAATTGTGCGTATAAAGTTATTTATAGATGGTATTGCCTTAGTTTCAATTAAACGGATTTTATCACCTTTTTTTATCTTTTTAACAAAAGTTACAGATTTTTAAAAAATTATGGCATTCTTCCACAAATCATGGTGAGGGGAGGCTCTCCGTACACTTCCTCTATAAATTTTGCCATTAGGTATATTGAATGAATTGCAATTAAGGGTATCAAATAGATTGTCCATTAGTTTGGTAAATTTTATCAAATTTCGGCATTCTTCCGGGATGTCGCCTCTTGCGGACAGATGTTCAGCAGCTACAGCAACACTGTGACTGAAAACTTAAGCAGCAGCTTTAACTTTCATTTTTTTTATTTTATCTGCATAAATGTGCTCATCTGTGAGTTTTTGCAGAAGTATTAGTTCTCCGTACGATTTGTCTGCTTCATATACTTTCTTATAAAATTCCCATTTTAAGGTTTTTTCACATTTCTCTTCAAAATCGAAGTAATTGAGATCTTTTG